AGCCTAAAAAAGTTAATACGACATTTAATTCCCTTCTTTATAATTATTAAATATAATTAGTTTCTGATATAAAATAAACTTTAGGAAGAAAATTAAAATTTACAAATCTGTGGACATTTTTTCACCTTCTCTTAAGCTTACTAGAGTTAAGGTGGTATTTGGAAGAATATAATGTGAAATACCAGGAAAATGAAGCGATGATAGAATTATGTAACTCTGTAAAACTGAATATTACAATTTTCTTTAATTTTTTATTTAGTTTTTGGAATATTAGTAACGTTTTAATTTTAGAATATTGATTCTTTAATCCTTTCTTGTTTGTGATGTTTTCTTTTTGCTCTCAAATTTAATTTTAAATGGTGCAACATATGAAATATTGTGTTTTCAATAATCTATAAGTGGGAAAAGTTGAAATTGAAGAATTTTATATCACCAGCTTCTCTAAGTATCCAAATTACCTTGTGAGACTAAATATCAAACCAAGATTCCTATTTACAAATTGTATTATTCAATATTACATGAAATTTTATAAATGAAGTAAGTGACAAACTTTGAAACGTTCTTGCCTAGAGCGACATTTAAATAGAGTAACTTTCTCATCTGTCAAAATTAGTTTAACGAGAACGCCTATTACGAGAACAATGAGTGCTATATATAAAGAATGACATTTAGAAACGAATTGTCATTTCTCCTAAAGGAAAAGTTCAATTGACATATTATCTTAGAAAAATCTCTGCTCGTTGAGCTTGTAACCTTAAATATTCAATGCTGTTATATGAGAAGAGATAACATTGGAATAGAGTGACAAATTAGCAAACTACAATTTCGTGGAGCAACAATGCACTCGCATTTGAATCGAATAGCGATAAGAGAACATGGCATTAGCTCTGTGACAGTTACCTCTCAAGGACTCGCCTCTCTTGTATGCCAAGAAGTACACGTGTAACAAAGACACTTAACAACGAAATTAGTAGAGTCGTAAATTGCGGCAACCAAGCTATAACGTACGAGATCACAATGCACACACATGGTACGTGCAATTGACGTGAAAAACAATTAACGTGATTTCATATTAGACCTCTCAGTAGTAACTTTTCATGTACCAAACTAATGCAGTGAACGAGAGAAACTTATTGTTTATCGAGACTTCATTGCTGTAATTTATCAATTTGTAAATATTATTATTTATAATCAATAGTAAGGGTTGATTGTAAATTTATATTTAAGTAGGCGAACATATTTTCTGAAATTTTGTAGGTCTAATTTTTTTTACTGTTCTAGGCTTTAAAGAAATCTGAAAAAATTTTGGGATACTCATCAAAGTCACTAGTAAAAATAAAAATTCTTATCGAAGAATTACGGGAGTGAATTTGGCTTACAGTTAGTTAAGTAACTGTGTACTGATTG